CTGTTGTAGGTCAATTTCCACTCGTTTCTTGACGGACTTTTTAGCCACAGGGGTCGTTTTCATCTTAGACACGCCCGACTTTTTTGTCATCGCCGAGGATGCCTTCGCGTTGATAGATTTGCCCATGTTGCGCCGGTGTTGAATGGTTGGCTTGGTGATAAATTCGAAAGTTTTCTACGTAAATTCAGTACTAGCGCTACGCGAGGCAGACTTGTTGGTTCTGCCGGATTGCGTGTTGTTTCGTTTCTGAAATAATTTTTTCTATAAAGCCTGAAGAAATTTAAAACAAGTTTGAATTTTCCTGGGTTGGACCAAAGATTTGTGACAAGTTGTTGTGCTGATGAAGTCCCTTTATATAGTTGAAGTTGTTGTCGGAGAAACATTGAGATGAAGACGTAGCGCGCCAGCCCTCCAGCTCAATGTTTCTCCGAAACCGTAGTGCAGGTCCTTAGCTTCAATCCTGGCGTGGTCGCATGTTTTAAAAAAGTTATGATCAGAAGTTACAGCCCAGCTAGGGTTGGGTGTTTCTCCTCCTGCTGATGCTCTGTGGTGTGTTGGTCTCACTACTTTTTTCATCGTTTCTACAGTTTTTAGAAGTACAAGATCATCTGCCACTGTAAGATTGAGTAGCTATTATTATTGGAGGGCCCTAGGAGATGGAATGAGTGGTTCTATATACGAGGTTGAATGACTCAGTTCCATGGTGATATAGGTTGGTGATGGTCTGATTGTTCCAAAATAATCGTCCCCACTAAGAGACATATCATCAAGTGCTATGGGGAAAATATGGTTATAGTATCGCCTCATAAGACTCATTCACAATCTATGCATTGGTTTATAGCTTCTTTCGAGCATTCTTGATGTATTCTGGCTCCTTCTGAGCACCGTGATTTGGATGATTGGTGCCCCTTAGCACCACCAACCTTAGCGGGGCTGTAACTTCTGAGCATAACATTTTCAAAACATGCGACCGTGATAGGATTGAAGCAAAGGATCTAAAGTAGAAGTTTTATATGGGGTGAATTTCGATTCTATGGATATCGACTAAGGTACCGTACAGCAAGACGGGGTAATTTTCATAAATAGGGGCAAGGGGACAGACGGGGTGTCATCGCTTCTCAGGCGGGTTGCATGGCCAAACAAATTGTTATAAAAAATAACGGTCATGTCACCTGCATGAAATGAAAAAAAGCTCGACCCATACGATTCAAAGCGGCTGTTCTGCTGAAACCCGCCTGTATGTCGTACGTAAAATCTAAACATGTACCTTTTGTCTCCACAATTTCACCGTTAAAAAAATTACATGCGTGCGCACCCCAGTGACGCAATAGAATCTGCAACAACGGAATCTTGGAATTCAGGCCAGCTGTTTCTCGTGTCACTTCTCTACCATTCTCTAATCTACGATTTACTTCAAATTTCCAGATGATAGCACTCACTCGACATTTTCAATTTGGTCATCATCATCTCCATCAACCAACAAACCAACCATAGTGTACTAAGTTTCTTGAACGAGAGATGCTCGGTAGGAGACTTGGAACAGGGTGGCTTTCTTTCACCCAGAAATATGTGATCTCAAGAATACATTTGATTTCTCGTTTCAAATCAACTGCAGCTGATCCCGACTTCGTTGTTGCGATATTGGGTCCACCCAACGCAGGCAAGAGCACTCTCTTCAATCGACTCCAATGCAAGGAAAGAAATAAGTCATATAAGCTGGGAAGCTCGTCAAAACGCGTGAATGGAAGGATCTCGAGCAAAGCGAATTCGAGGGGAAATGCAATTGTCTCCCCGATTGCCAATACGACGAGAGACCGACGACAATGCTGGGGACGGATAGGTTCTACAGAGTTTCAGTTGATCGACACAGCAGGTGTTGACGGAGATCGAATTCATCTTCTGGGGAAGTCGCAATCAAAAGAACCCATTCTTGAAAAGTCAATGATGATGCAGACGCTTGCTGCTGCAGAGCAGTCAGACCTTAATTTGCTCGTATTTGATGGCAAAGTAGGAGTCTCACATGATTTGGTTGCAACAGCAAGATGGTTACGGAAGCTCGGCAAAGACTCCCAGGTGGTCATTGTAGCCAATAAACTTGAAGGCGACTCTTGGGCATACGAAGGCTCAGACGTGATGCAAACATTAGACGAGGTTACTCGCTTGGGTTTCGGAGAAGCGATCACAATATCGGCCTTGCAAGTAAGTTGGATACAAGCCAATCGAGCTCCTTCTGTGCCCTCATGTGAAGAATCTCAAAAGAAGTAATCGTTGATAGGGAGATGGAATGGTAGATCTTGCAGTTCTAATCGAGCAAATGAAAACAAACAAAAAAGTGAGGGATGTAAAAAGTGGGGTATTATCGATACCAGATGGGGGTGCGCCAGCATCTGTTCCGGACAAGCCTATCCAACTTGCAATACTTGGACGGCAAAATGTTGGGAAGTCGACTTTAGTGAACAAGCTTGTGAAAAGCGAGAGAGTGCTGTTTGGGCCTACCCCAGGACTAACACGGGATGCAATTGCAGTTGACTACGATTGGGATGGCAAGAAAGTACAACTAGTACGTTTTGATATTTGTCCTTTGCGTTCAACAATCCTCTCAATGTTGTGATTAAACTTTGTTTCACCAGGTCGACACAGCAGGGATTAGAAAGTTCACAAGGCGTGCTGAAGATTCTATCGAAGACATGGCTGTAGCGGATGCCCTGAGAGCCATGAAAGTGGCAGAGGTTGCTGTTCTAGTTGTCGATGCCAAAGAGCTTTTCTTGCATCGACAAGAGCTCGCCATCTGCAACGCAATACTAAACGAAGGGCGTGCTCTTGTGATTGTTGCAAATAAGGTCGACTTGCTTGAAATGTCGAGTGACTATGGGCCAAAAGATTTTGCAAAGCAAGTTCGGTTGCAACTCGAGACTGCCATTCCGATGCTTAGAAACACGCCAGTTCTGCCGATGAGCTGCCACACAGGAGAGGGAGTTTCAGCTCTTTTCCCCGCTGTGTTGGATGCGAAGCGTCGATGGTCCAAGCCAATTTCAACTGGCTTGTTGAATCGATGGTTGAAAGAAGTGTCTAATGGATCGCCTTTGCCAGTGGTCGGAGGCGTGAAATCGAAACTTCGCTATATATGCATGAAGAAAGCAAGGCCCCCGACAGCTATAATATTTACGAATGTGGACCATCTTCCGGGTACGTGTTTGCTGGCTTCTTTTTGCTGTTGTTGAAAGTGCACAAACAACTCTCACTACTGAAAACAGACTCATATCTACGGTATTTGACAAGGCACCTCCAAGAGTCTTTCGAACTCTATGGTATGGCAATCCGGATCATTGTGAAGAAGAGCGCAACGAACAATCCGTATGTCAAGAAAAAAGGCAACCGTAGCGGATTTGGTTTGGGAGGTAGAGATGCCCGCAACCGACGACGAATAGCCGAGTATCAAAAGAAATCAAAAAAAAGGAGAGTAGACTGAATCTGTTTCTTTGGATCGTCGTCTAATTTTCTAAAACTCTCCCAGTCGCGGAATACAAATTATAATTCACAGAGGCGGCGTGTATTGTTCTTCCTGTCGAAGTCACATACAGTAGCATAGACGATTCTATGTGCGTTACTTAGTTCGAAAAGAGGAAGACATTTCGCTTGTCGGGAACGCGATGTGGGCCAGTCTTTCTTCATCACACCCTGTTCAAACCTAGTCTTGTTCCCTTGTGAGATCGATGAGTGAAAGACATTTCAATTGTAAGATTTTCAATGCTTCTGCCACCAGTACTCCCGGTTTCTGCATCCCAACAGATTCGACCGAAAAAATAAATCGATTCGGTATTCTCGTCATTTTCACAGCTTTTGCTAAAGTGGGATTTCGCATATAATTTCTTGACATTGTGCACGCATATGAATTGCAAACTTTTGCCTCCACTTGTTTGCCTACCTTTGATGTTGGAACAAGTTCAAATACACCTGGCTCATAAACGTACACAAGCTCTTTTGCATCGTCGTCGTACACTGAGTCTACAAGCTCTACCTCCGTATATAGGCGATAACAAGCCGTTGCTACAGGGGAGTACTTGGCATGATCCCGACCAATTCCACGTCTTCCATGCGCTTCCAAATAAATTTCTTGGCCCGGCCTTAGTTTTGCAATGAGGATATCATCATGGACAGGTCTGATTCCATTTGGAAAGTGTTTTGCCTGAGCTCCTTGTGGCATCCAAACCAAGTCTCCTGAATAAACGTGCTTGGTATACGGCCGACCAGGCGTTTCGATAGTCTTCTTACGAGTAGCTGCAAGAGCAGCTTTTTCCAATTCAGCATTTTCAATGACATTCGGATCAGTCTCAAAGTTCATGTCTTCATCTTTGCCTTTCTGCAGTCGAGAATTTTGTTGCGTTTCACAGGATACTTGGAGCTTGAACACAACCGTATTGAGATCTGTCGCCTCATCGGGGTCATCCAGGTCCTCAAAGAGGCGTGGATCGACATTCAGAGGAATGAGCCCAATTCGGTGAGCCAAAACTTCATCGTGGAGCAGACTGGTGTTGTTGATCATGTAAACATACTCAAGGGCCACCGTTGGAACTTCAGCCAACAAGATACGACGCAGGGCATTCGCAAAAGATACATCACAACCAATCAACTCAAAGACCAGCTCGTTTCCTTCTTGCGACAATATTTTTAAATCAAAATTTTCCCTGCAAAGAGGTTCCAGCATCAGAGGGCAAAAGGGTCAAGAACAAATGCATGTCGCCTTACCGAAATCTTTTCAGAAATTCTTTGCCATCTTTTGGGGTAGGTATTTCGGCCTTCACATGCTGGTACTCCAAGCCCGCTTCCTTGACCCTATAGAAGCCCGAGTTCTCCTTTGTTGACATGGTGTACTTTACAACTATGATAATATTATTGTTTCCAAATTTAGATTTGAGATGATGCGATGAACGATTTAGATTATTGGTCGTCGTCTGGACGTCGGCTGTTCTATTCAGAAATGGTCGACTATTTTCGTCCAAATGGACGAAATGGACAAAATGGACGAAATGGACAAAATGGACGAAATGGACGAAGAGCTCGCAACCTGGATGCTGCAATTTGAAATCGGGGGCGGCAAAAAAATTTGTTAGAAGTAAGCGATCCACTGCCGCCTGCAATCTACCTGTTCAATTGACTGCGATTTAGCTGTCCAGGTATTGTTGCCTTCTAAGTATGTGAATTTACAGTATATAAAAGTATATAGATCTATTAGAGATCCTACTTTATCAACCAATTCACTCGTTGCTTGCAATATATTATAAAAAGTTAGAACAATCTGTCAACTTTTGACTTTGACTCGCACGCAAGCTGGTCAATCAATTAATGTCTGTGTCACATAACGACAAAAAAGGGGCAACAAAATACCGGTACCTATTATTAATAGGTACCGGTACGTGTACAGGCTCAAAGCAAAATAATCAGTTATATGGCATGTCCACAGCATGCCAAAGTTGCCAGAGATGTCTTTGGCGGGCCAAATTGCACTCTACAGACAATAAAGGAGTTAGATCGGGAGATCCACTATTCGTTGATTGAGTGCAGCTACAGTATCTTTGGAACATGATGCAGCCTCACACGCACAAATTGGACGACTGGATGTAGGATTCATCCGATCAAGAGGTTTAAAAATAATATTGGCTAGTTTTTTAATTATAGAAGTTTTGTTGGTCCGACGAAGTTCGTCCATTGGACGAATGTGTCCGACGAAGTTTGTCCATTTGGACGAAGCCTCCACAAATGGAAATTAATGTTTTGGCAGGCTTGTTTTCAACGAAGCCCAAGCTTTGCATTGCGCAGAGTTTGTCACCGGCATGTCATCTCTGTCATCTCCGCTAGACAACCTCCACGACATCTCTGAGGACATTGCCAGAAAGCCTGCCATTTCAGGCCGCTCCTGAGTCTCATTGCGTTCCTTTGAATACCTATTATCAAATCTTTGTCTTTGGTGTGAATCTGAACTGGAATCGGGGCCTGACCGGCTTGCTCACTCCTTCTGCACGGGGATCTGTGATCCGACATCATCACTGCTCGTGGAATTCATTCTTGGTGCGTCGCGTTTTGGTTGTACGAGGTCGTTAAATTACAGGCAGTTCCCCATATTGACTATTGTTTTATGTCCTCTGAGTCAAAAATTCTATGAATTTTTCACAGATGTTCCGAAATCTCTGTGAATGACCAACAGATGTTCCGAAATCTCTGTGAATTTTTCACAGGCTTTTTAAGGGTCTTCATAGATGTTCCGAAATTAGACAGAGGTTCAGCTGACATGCGTGCACGCATTCCCTTTCGGAAAAGCACCATACAACTTCCGTAGAGGAAAAAACGGTTAATGTTGTTCACTTCGATTCCAAGCATCATCCTGAAAGATTCTGAAACTCTCTTTGCATTTTCTCTTCAAAATCTCAAGCAAGCGTGACCAAATTTGAAAATACGGTTAAGTTGGCACCGTCTTCTGAGTTGAATTTTCTATCGCCTGATTCAAAAATTCTGTGAATTTTCTATCGTCTGAGTCAAAAATTCTGTGAATTTTTCACAGATGTTCCAAAATCTCTGTGAATTTTTCACAGATGTTCCAAAACTTCTGTGAAAAATTTACAGGTTTTTTTGGGGTCATTACAGATGTTCCGCAATTGCTGTGAAAATAAAACAAACTTTAAAATTTAAATCTGGCGAATGAAGTTGAATACTTACCGGCATTGTGAATATTTATAAAATTCCTTGTCGTAGAAATTTCTTTCTGGCAGGCAATAAGTGAAAGTCGATTTTTGAAGTTTCGTGCAGAAGAGGGTGAAAATGACCACATCGACTCTCCAAAAAAAAGAGAAAGCTGGCTTCACAGAAAACTGTGGGATATCCCAGGCAGTTTATTTGGATCCAAGATGATCCGGGGAACCTTAATAACCCTCATACCTGACTCAGTCAGGAGGACTGCCATTTCATCGAAAGTCATACATCACAATGTCCAGTAATCCATCTCTCTTTACCAGCAGCGACGGGAAGTGACCGGTGATCATTTCACCAGCAGCAACGGCTTCACAACACACATGGTATGCAATCGAATTACATTTCTTCTTCAACGTAGAATCAGGTCTTTGTGTGTTATAAAACTCAGAAATCAAAAATCAAAAACAAAAAGGTAGAAAATATTCTTCCACACGCTTCTCCAAAACAAAACTGTACCAGTCCTACGCGTTTCGTACGTAAAGGAAAACAGTTGTTGTTGTTGAAACAGGAATTAAATTTACTCCAACATGAAGGATAGCATCATGAACCCGCCGGAGAAGGACCCAAATTCGATCACGACTGTAGCTGACCAAGGTCAGGGAGGTCTCGAGGAAAAAACCCGATCAAATTCGACCACTCAGTCGTCGATTGCTCTGACAAAGGACAACCCTGCCATCACAACTCCCCAGCGCCGCAGCAAGCGAAACCCTTCAAAAACCGCCGAGGATGGCGCAATGAAAGGTCGCTCGCTCCTCCCATCTGAAGTTGCCCAAGGTCAGGTTGGCCTCACGGCCAAAGCTCGATCGAACTCTACCACTCCTTCGTCGACCGATTTCATCAAGGATAATCCTGACACCATGATTTCCAAGAGCCAACGCAAGCAACCCCCTCCTTCCAAAACCGCCGAGGACGGCGCAGTGCAAGGACGACCGCTTGTTGCGTACAACAAGAAACTCAAGGTGTCCAAGTTTCACCGGCTCTACAAGAAAGCTTGGAGACAGGAGGTTTTTGGGAACCAAGCATTTATCACCTGGTCCTCTCGCACCGTGGAACACTTTGGTCATGCAATATGTGGAAGCATCGCAATGATGTCTTTCATTCTGACGACAACATCGTCAACCAACAGCGCACGACTGCTCTCGATCGACGCATCCACAAAGAGTTTGACATGGGTCCTCGCGACCTACCTCGGAACCTTCGCCCTGTCATCCGTCGATCCCGCCTTGTAGACGTCCTCCAACTCCACCTCGCGGACAAGGAGGAATGGGTCCTCGTCATCTCCAAAGCCCGCCGCAAAATCAGACGATCTCTTGCAGGCAGGCGCCGATTGATGTGGGAACTGACCCACCCTACCCCTCGCCCAGCAGCCCCCTGACTTACTTGTCTACATATTCACCCAAGTGATTCTGGTACCGGTACATCACAAGCCACACGTACCCCAGTCTAACACATACATATTCTCCACCCCACCTTGCGTGGGAGAGCCGATCGTCCCTTAACACTTTCGACTTGCGAGCAACGTTCCTCTCTTGAACGCCTCCACGTGGTTCAAACTTTGTTGACCAAAAGCAACCTAGTTCCTGGCCTCTACAGCCGTATTACACCGGCAGTTGGATACTCTAGAAGTAGCATAATACCAATTAATGATTCAGTTATATATATATATGGTCCTTTGTTTTCCAGTTGAAAACAACCTCTTTTTCGGCGTCGCTACGGCCGCTCCGTGTAGGAGAAGTACTAGAGGTGCTGTTTTGGAACCCGGATTTGCGTGTGGTTTTTAATTGTGTGTTTTTTCGGAATATGACAATCTCTTGCAGGCAGGCGACGATTGATGTGGGAACTGACCCACCCTACTCCTCGCCCAGCAGCCCCCTGACTTACTTGTCTACATATTTACCAAAGTGATTCTGGTACCGGTACATCACAAGCCACACGTACCCCAGTCTAACACATACATATTCTCCACCCCACCTCGCGTGGGAGAGCCAATCGTCCCTTGACACTTTCGACTTGCGAGCAACGTTCCTCTATTGAACGCCTCCACGTGGTTCAAACTTTGTTGACCAAAAGCAACCTAGTTCCTGGCCTCTACAGCCGTATTACACCGGCAGTTGGATACTCTAGAAGTAGCATAATACCAATTAATGATTCAGTTATATATATATATGGTCCTTTGTTTTCCAGTTGAAAACAACCTCTTTTTCGGCGTCGCTACGGCCGCTCCGTGTAGGAGAAGTACTAGAGGTGCTGTTTTGGAACCCGGATTTGCGTGTGGTTTTTAATTGTGTGTTTTTTCGGAATATGACAATCTCTTGCAGGCAGGCGACGATTGATGTGGGAACTGACCCACCCTACTCCTCGCCCAGCAGCCCCCTGACTTACTTGTCTACATATTTACCAAAGTGATTCTGGTACCGGTACATCACAAGCCACACGTACCCCAGTCTAACACATACATATTCTCCACCCCACCTCGCGTGGGAGAGCCAATCGTCCCTTGACACTTTCGACTTGCGAGCAACGTTCCTCTATTGAACGCCTCCACGTGGTTCAAACTTTGTTGACCAAAAGCAACCTAGTTCCTGGCCTCTACAGCCGTATTACACCGGCAGTTGGATACTCTAGAAGTAGCATAATACCAATTAATGATTCAGTTATATATATATATGGTCCTTTGTTTTCCAGTTGAAAACAACCTCTTTTTCGGCGTCGCTACGGCCGCTCCGTGTAGGAGAAGTACTAGAGGTGCTGTTTTGGAACCCGGATTTGCGTGTGGTTTTTAATTGTGTGTTTTTTCGGAATATGACAATCTCTTGCAGGCAGGCGACGATTGATGTGGGAACTGACCCACCCTACTCCTCGCCCAGCAGCCCCCTGACTTACTTGTCTACATATTTACCAAAGTGATTCTGGTACCGGTACATCACAAGCCACACGTACCCCAGTCTAACACATACATATTCTCCACCCCACCTCGCGTGGGAGAGCCAATCGTCCCTTGACACTTTCGACTTGCGAGCAACGTTCCTCTATTGAACGCCTCCACGTGGTTCAAACTTTGTTGACCAAAAGCAACCTAGTTCCTGGCCTCTACAGCCGTATTACACCGGCAGTTGGATACTCTAGAAGTAGCATAATACCAATTAATGATTCAGTTATATATATATATGGTCCTTTGTTTTCCAGTTGAAAACAACCTCTTTTTCGGCGTCGCTACGGCCGCTCCGTGTAGGAGAAGTACTAGAGGTGCTGTTTTGGAACCCGGATTTGCGTGTGGTTTTTAATTGTGTGTTTTTTCGGAATATGGAGCTCCCGTCCACATCCATTTCTGTAGATGGAGCGACCACCGAAACCCTGTGGGACCGTCCCTTCTTCCTCGGCGGAGATGCCAATTCAGGGTCCTTGTCTTCACCAGTAACACCTGTCAGTTCGGAAACTGCCTCATCCGTATTCAGGCCCATGTTGTTGTTGTCTTTGTCGTTTGCAGTATCCGTAAGATCGTAAGTACTTTCCACGAGAATGACAGAATCCTTGGTCGATTCGTCAGTATCCTCGTCATCCTCCTCCACCTCGCCCTTGTCGTCGTTGTTGTCATGGGTGCAATCATCACCAGAAGCAAGTTCACCATCTATTTCCATGTCGTTCCTTCGGTCGTTGGAGTCGTCAACTGTCTCGTCCGAGTCCCATCCATCGGGCTGGCCGAACTTATTGACAAGGCCAGTGTCCTCGTCGCCCATCGGATCATCTTCCTCCTCAGAATCTTCGTAGTCAGGATCAAATATCTTTTTGACCCCCTTGTGAATAT